CATCTTTAAATGTTCCAACATCCAAATTGTAGGGGGTGCCAGAAGGAGAAGAGGAAGAGCGAGAAATTGAAAACTTATTTGAACAAATAATAAAGGAGAACTTCCCAAATCTGGCAAAAGAAACAGACTTCCGGGAAGTCCAGGAAGCTCAGAGAGTCCCAAAGAAGTTGGACCCAAGGAGGAACACACCAGGAACATTACAATTACATTAGCCAAGATTAAAGAGAAGGAGAGAATCTTAGAAGCAGCAAGAGAAAAGGAGACAGTCACCCACAAAGGAGTTCCCATCAGACTGTCAGCTGATTTCTCAAAAGAGACCTTACAGGGAGAAAGGGGCTGGCAAGAAGTATTCCAAGTCATGAAAGTCAAGGACCTATATCCAAGATTACTCTATCCAGCAAAGCTTTCATTTAGAATGGAAGGGTAGATAAGGTGCTTCTCAGATAAGGTCAAGTTAAAGGAGTTCATCATCCCCAAGCCCTTATTATATGAAATGTTAGAGGGATTTATCTAAGAAAAAGAAGAAAAAAACATGAACAGTAAAATGACAGCAAACTCACAGTTATTAACAACCACACCTAAAACAAAAACAAAAGCAAACTAAGCAAACAAATAGAATAGGAACAGAATCACAGAAATGGAGATCACATAGAGGGTTATCAACAGGAGAGTGGGGGGAGGGAAGGTACAGAGAATAAGTAACATAAATGATAGGTCGAAAATAGACAGGGGGAGGTTAAGAATGGAATAGGAAATGTAGAAGCCAAAGAACTTGTATGTATGACCCATGGACATGAACTAAAGGGCGGTGGGCGGGGGGGTGGATATAAGTGGGAGGGGATGTGCAGGGCAGAGGGGAATAAAGGGGGGGGAATGAGACAACTGTAATAGCATAATCAATAAAATATATTGAAAAAACAAACCAACAAAGAGACCTGCCTCAAAACTGAATTACCTGGTCCTAGTTTTATAAGATATACATGCATAATTTTTATTCTGTTGCTTATAATTTTCCTATAATTTGAATAGGTCAAGAAATGTGGTTTATGTATAGTACCTGAAATATCCTCTTTAGTTTTTAGTGTAGTCTTCAGAGTAGTGTCTGCCCTGCCCTTCATTTCTTCCAGGTTTCCTGGGGGTGGCCAGCAGAGTATAGTAGAAAGATTTTGAGCTGTGGAGTCAGGAAGACTTTGAAGTCCATACTAGATCTGGTCCTAAAAATAACAGTGTTATTGGTGGGCATATTACCTAACTTTTTGAAGTTGTGGCTTCTTCTTCTTCTTTAAAAATGAGTGTAGTAAAATCTGCTTTGTGAGTTGTTATAAGGATGAACATAATTCACATAGAGCTTAGCAAGAGAGGCTGAAAAACAATGGACTTGATTGTGTGGGCAGAGTTGTGCCCTCAAAGTTTGTAATAGAGCAATTATCTGAAGTTTGGCACTTGAAATAAGCATGGGAATCAAAGGTACAGACTTAGCTACACCAACAGACACTGTTGTGTTGCTGTGAAGTTACCCCAGACACCTTTCTTCTATTAACTGAATACTGTGGTTCATGAGGGATAGAAATGCTAAAAAATGAGTCACAGTTCACCGGGAAAGCATGACCTGGACCAGCAGCTGCCAGGGCTTTCACTATTGAAATCCCACTGTGCTATTTTCTTATACTCTAAGTTTGTAATGAGTTCCCTCCTGAGAGGACATGATGAAATATACAACTCCGTTCCAGTAAGCATCTTTATGTCTATAAGCAGAATCCTTTAGCAATTATTACTATAAATTAAAATCTTAATTCTAGAACAGATTTGGTAGGGGCTGCAAGGAGGCATCGGTCTTTGGTGGAGTTATCCTGGCTGAGTGAGGGGTCCAGGCTCAGGCTTCAGAGTTGGTGGGGGTGTCATTACCACGTGTGGCCTGCAAGCAAGGTGCACAGGCTAACATGGGTCTGATCTTTCCTGAATCAGGAAGAAGACACGTTGGACTTCGTGGACTGATGATTCTGAGGTAGCCTTCTGTAAGGACCACAGCTTGATATTCAATGTCTGCCCAGCGGTGCAGCTTTGGAGGACGGTATCAAAAAACTGATGCTTCCTTGAATTTGCTTCTGTGTTCGCTTCATCAATGTCTCTCATATTAAATATCTTATGACGGATGCTTGAATATTTTGGTTTCTCATGGACCAGGGTTTGCAGATTTGGGAAAATAAAGGCTATGGATTGGCTTGGAGTACTGTTTGTATTATTTGAAAACTTATTCCTTTAAAATATTGTCCCAGGCCTGATTTAGACTTGATCCTGAATCCGAAGACTATAGTAGCTATGGATTTGTCATTTTATCTTTTGCTGATACTTTGTGTGTGGCAAATGATGAATTCAGCTACCTCAACTTTTGAAATAGTATATGACAAAATGAGGCAGATGAGCCCTGGCTGGTGTGGCTCAGTGTGCATTGAACGCTGGCCCATGAACCAAAAAGTTGCAGGTTGGATTCCCAGACAGGGCACATGACTGGGTTGTGGGCCAGGTCCCAAGCATGGATACATGAAAGGCAACCACACACTGATGTTTCTCTCCCTCTCTTTCTCACTCTCTTCCCCTCTGTCTATAAATAGATAAGATCTTTAAAAAATGAGGAAGATGAGAAAAGAGACTTTTCTATCCTTTGCAATTACTTTGGGATCCACTGTCACCTGCTCTAAGACATAATAAACCAATGAAAATGCTCAGCCTATAAATGATGCTACAATGAAAAAAATAGCTGCTTTTGAAGATGAACTAACTTTTCTTTACTCTCAGATTGCTGTGATTGTGGAAGTGCAGGAACTGAAAAGCAGTGCAAATTCTGGCTCCTTTGACTCGAATGATGGGCCTGGTGGTTTGGGACAAGTGCTATCATCAGGGACTGCTCTACTGAATGTTAAACCAGATCTATTTTCAAATTCAGTGCTTTCTTCTCCTTCTCCTCCACCCCCTCAGTTTTCTTCTCTACAGTCTCTACATTCTCCTCTTGTATAGCCAGGATTTAATAATATTTGCAACACAGATAATTCAGCAACTGAAATGAAAAAAAGAGCACCCAGGTGCTACTAAGACCAATTATAATTGTCATTCAAAAAAACAAAAAAAATAAGGATGTTTCAAACATGTTGTGCCCAATTAGGGCACAAGTATATTATTCATGCAAATAAATAGTATGTCTATAATACAAACATATTTGTATTATGTGAAATACATATGTGTGAATATATGAATATTATAGCCTTATACTTTATACATACATACATATACATTCACTAAAAATATCCTGAGATAATCATCTGTAATATCCTCTATAGCAGTTTGTCTGGGAAGTATAAATGATTGATGTCTTTCAGAAATTTCTAGGCAACCAGGTGGTACAATTATTAACCATTCTTGGGGACTTGGCTTCAAAGCAAATCAATTAGGATTAGAATCTGTACCATTCGTGTCCAAAACACAGAAAATCTTGACCACCAGATGTCACCATTCTTCTATTTCCCCTCCCAGTGCCAGAAGAGGGGTTGAGATGTTTTTTCCTCCAAGGGACTGAGGTAAATAGGTGCCTCTCAATATGCCTGGATTTCATCAAAAGGACTTATTAAGAGGAATTGTCCTGCCCATGGAGATTTCCTTGTGGTTATTGAGCATCACCTGGACAGTTTTTGACTGCTAAGGATCCAGCACCCTGTGGCTGATAATTTGGGGCTCATCTGGTCAGAAAATGTTAAAGCCATTTCCTCCAGCTTGAAGTTAAAGCTAGGACTGACCTACTGTGCCTAGAGCCAGCGTGACACAAGAGAGGCCACAGGGTGTTTTCTATTAAGATACTGGAGTCAGGGGACCTCCCTAACTAGCTGGGTGGCCCAAGAGCTCACAAAATGAGGGAGAAGGACTAAGTCATTTCTAGGGTCCCCAAATTCCACGATTCTTTGTTTTTAAATGTCTCTGTTTGGAGGGTGGGCAGCAGGATGGTGTGATCTAAGTTCAAGAATGAAGATCCCAGGGAGGACAGTGAAATGGGGATGGAGAAATCCTGCAGGCAACAGAAGGTGAAGTTGATCATAAACTCTCCTATTCCAGACATAGTTACTGGTTCCATAGTCTGGAACTTGCTGGGGTTATGAACCTTGTCATTTTCACCCCTAAGTACCCACTAGGTCACTCTCCTTGCATTCTAATACTACTTAACAAGGATCTATAATGCTTAATGATGTTAATATACATATTCTCTCTCCCAGGGCTTGGCTGGATTTAATGACCTGTCAGTCAATGTTCTTTGAGGTGCCTTCAGGGCATGGGATGCATTTTATTTCTTTTTGAATTTACAACAGTACAATGTTCAGTTAGCCTATCTGCAGTGTTCATAAAATACAGAGGCGGTTGGGGGAAGAGAAAGAGAAATGGAATTCATTTATTGAACATCTACTATGTGCTAGGTATTGCTAAATACATATATTCTAATTTATCTTCAAAATAACCTCATGAAGCAACATTAATTATGCTCATAGATAAGGAAGTTAAATTCATATGGTTAAGTGGCTTGCCCATGGTCACAAAAACCAGGTGGCAGAAACTCAGACTGCTTCATATAGCCCATTCTATGAGGGAGGAAAGGCTCAGGGCATGTTTGAGATGGTTGAGCTCCAAGTCCCCTAACAGGGTTTCATAGCTGGAAGGGACCTGCTGCTTAGAGACCTGGACTGCGCCACTGTGGAGGATGCAGTGCTGATATGGCAGTGCTGATATGACCTTGCTAGTCAGTGCCCCGACCTTGCTAGAATATTATTTATGGCCGGGATCAAACTATCTCTCTCGCTTGTTTCTCCTTTAGGGCTGCGGAATGGTACGGTTGGTAGAAGTCCTCTAAAACAGGGTTTGGTAGTTTGTAGACGGTCCCTAAGAGGCTAGGGCGTTCCGAATTGGCTGAGCGCTCCGCCAGGGAGGGCGGGGAGTTTGCCGAACGTCCCTGGCCGGAATCCCTGCCTTCCAGAGACGAGAGCCCAGAAGCGGGGAGAAGTTGGAGAGGTCGGGTAAGGGAGGGTTGGTAGAAATTGCACAGACTCCAGCCCTGGTCGGTTGACCTCCCGAGGAGTGCCTTTGCTGCGTCCCGGCCAAGTGTGGACGCGCCGTGCGCGGCCCGGCCAAGGCTGGGAGTTTGCAGACCGTCCCTGCCGCGACCAGCGCGGCGGCGGCCCTGCGGCTCCCGCTGCAGCCGCGGTGGCCCCGGGCAGGATACAGCCCTGGTAGCCGCGCCGCAGGCTTGAGGTACCGCAAATCCTGCCCTGCTGCGCCTTGGGACCCGTCGGGACGGTGACTGGCAGGCTCTTCTGGTTTCTGCTGCTGCCCGACAAGGAGGTGAGAGCCACTGGGTCGGGGCTATCGCGTCGAAACTCTCCATCCCCGCGGGAAGATGCACGCTGAGAGGACCGTGAAGGGCGCAAGGAGCTGGGTGCGGGCAGGGAGAGCCGGTACCGAGGGTGGCGCAGTCTGGGGCTTTCACGCGCCTCCCCTCTGCTGTCTGCGTGGGTGCCCCGGTCGTGGTCGCTCTGCTGGACCCACGAGTGCAGCCGCGGACGCGCCTTGAGGCGCCCACCTGCCTGTTGGCAGCAGGTACCCAGGGAAGGCTGCAGGCCCCCAGGACCCGTGAGGAGGCGGTTTGTTGGCTTTTGAAGGGACTGTCCAGAGGAGGCTTCGGCTTTGCGGGCTGGGGACGAGCGGCTGAGGTTGGCAGATGGGCGCTCAGTCCGCGGAGGAGCTTCGGTGGGGTCATGCTGGGGCTGTGGGCCGGTCTGAGGTACCCCGGACCTGGGCGAGCAGGGCGGGCTCAGTCACCCGCCGGTGAGTAGAAAGAGGAAGGAGGCTGGCCCAGGGCCTCAGGGGGACAGAGATGCGGTGCGCGGTCGCTCTAGTCTGGGTGACCAGGGAAATCCGACGGTGCCCTCCACCCCTTGGGGATGCCTGTTGGCCCGCGATCCCGTCGGCCGGAGAGGCTACCGGGAGCGCTGAGTCCACACCCGCGCCCACACTCCCCGAGAGCATGCTCAGTGCGGCCCTGGGAACTTCCTGCTGAGTCTCGAGTGGCCCCGGCCCCCTCACGGCCCACTGCTCCCAAAGTTGGGGGCGGCGTAGGGGCTCGAGGGAGGGCGCGGAGCCTGCCTGTCGCCCTTTGGCGTTCTTGTTCCCTGCATCGCCCCTGCGGGACCCCAGAGCTTCTGCCCTACGCTGTCCCCGCTGCTGGGAACAGAGGCGTGGATGTCACCCACCCCCGCTCCCCAAGGCCAGGTCCGAGGCCGGGTGGCCAGAGGCCTGGCGGTGGGGCTGCCTGCCGGGTAGACCCGCTTGCGATGCGCTCGCCGCGCGCACGGACCCTGTGCAGTAAGCAGACTGAGTGGAAGGGGGTGTGTGAGCACTGGGCTCTTGGCGCACACACTCGCTGTCACGCACAAAGCCTTGGTTTCATAGCTTTCGAGCAGTGGAAGGAAGAGGTGCCACTTGCATTGTCCAGCTGCTTTTGGAGCACAAACAGAGTGCTCGGTGCCTGGGGGATTCTGGAACCAGCGGACGTTTTCGGTTTTCAGAGATGCCCCAAGTGAATTCTAGGCCCCGGTACTCCTGGCACTTACTGTTAGGCCCTGCCCTGGGCGGACACTGCTGCCTGCACTTGGCTCTGGTAGCCCAGTTAGAGAAGATTGGGCACTTAGGCGGCTGAGAAGTTGGGGTGGAGAAAGCTGAGGTTTGTGTGGGGTTCGGGTGGGATGGCAACACTGCACTTGGAAACATTCGAATCCAAGTGTTTGAGGCAGGATCTCATTCTAAAGAGACAAGTGGGAAGCTGATACCCCTTCACCCAACTCCCCCCAACGCTTCTTTATTGTCAGGACCTGAGACACTTGGTTGGTTTTTAACTCTTGAGAGAGGAACAACCCCCCCCCCGCCGCCCTCCCCGTGTTAGTCACTGTGCAACTCACACCCTAAGCCTTGACCTAGGGTCAGAACTCTCTTGTTTTTGACTTGAGAAAAATCATCAAACAGATTTTCATGATGGAGAAGGCATCACAGGTCTGTCTAGATAAATGAATGTTCACCCCCACCTCCCCACCCTTCCTGTTTTCCTACAAATTGTTTTTGCTGTTACTGTTCAGGGCTGAGATAGGGACCCTAATTTTTATTGCTGTTAGGATGAGAGAAAAACTCCCCTGTCCAGAGATCTTTTAAGTTTTTGCCAGTTATCAGTGTGATGCTCATGTTGTCGACCTGAAATGCAGAGGCCTAAGAAATGAGGTGATGGGAGAGGAAGGGGAAGAGGTGGTGACCTTTTGCCCCTTTTAGGGACTGAGAGAAGAAGAGAAGGAAGCTGCTTTGCTGGACACCAGACTTTTCCTTTTCTCTCCTTTGTGCCAACTTGCCTTCCTGGGTCTGGGAGACTTGTGACTGGAGTCACTAGGGGAAAGGATTCTGCAGTCCTGGTTTTGAGCTTCACAGGGCTTGCACCTGCACAGGCGGCACTGGTTGGTTTTAAGGCAGACAGCAACCGCAGCAGGACTGAAGGTCTCGCCCAGATCTGCTAGTGGCATCTGTGTGTTTCAGCCAATGCTGCAAAGCTGCTCATGGGCTTTTGAATCTTCTCAGGAGTGCGCATTTCAAGTGCTTTGTGTTTGGAAGTGTGAATACAGTACTCATTTATATATAGTCACACATCCCTATAGGTTTTATAAAGAAGCATGGGCATATGTAAGTGCATATGCAGTGTTCTTTGGTAGCATCTTGGAGCTGGAAAGAACCTCAGGAGATCATAGCAATTCAAATTTTCTCCCTTGCCATTCAGTTTCCTCAGTTTAAAAATAACCAACCAGCCTGCTGCCCAGCTGGCTTTCCAAAGCATTTGATGCCATAGTCCCCCTGTGACCCTAGCCAAAGGGAAGGCCTTTGGCTTCTCTGAAAAGTGTGACTCCTCAGGATCTGGTCTCTAACATTGGACATGACTTTTCCTGATTCTCCACAGGGCTTGGGATCTAAGTCATTGCAGAGTCACTCTCAGATTTTGGCAGGGGATAAGTGACCAGTGCCCCCTGCAGCAATGTCTAGAAAATTGCAAAGAGCAGTCAGTCATCAGTAAGTAGGATGTGAGTTGGAAAGTTTGGGCCCTTTCATACTCTGTGGTCATCTGAGGAGGTAGTTGCTCTGCGCCTTCCCAAGAGAGTGGGGATTCATTTTCACCCCCTTCTCCATGTGTATCTTGGCCTACTGGCTCTAGGAAGATGGGGTGGTGGTTGGGGATGGTGGTCTGTATTGGTGTTGTTACTGTAGGTCTCAGGAAAGCATGTGCTATCAGGAGTATTGTCTTTGGGGGTTTGTTACTGTGGATGTCAGAGTTTGGGGGAGGATGCTGGTGTCAGGTGAATAGTTAACAGAGAGTTTTGGCTAAAGGAAGGTGTATGTGTTCCTGAATTCAGGTACTTAACAACAAAGAAAAGAGGAAATCATTTTATATCTGGGGAGAGGGCCACACGGGTGACAGTTGAGAGGTTTGGTCAGAAACATTTGGTGCTTATCAGTGCCATCTTTACTAGGCTGCCTTCAAAGTTCCTACTTGCTTTGAAGTGTAGAATCCTTCCTAATATCCAGAGTATAGCCATACTTTTAATTTTCTGTTTGAAATTGAGTAAAGATCTCCCCATCTCCTTAAAGTTTCTAATGTAAGCCATGTGCCCCTATCCTCTTGTATCCCGTGTCAACACCAAAAATCCAAGCACAGTCATGGTGGCCTGTGTGCCCCTGCAGGCAGACTCGAGTGTGTAGTGTGTGGCACACACACTTAGTGTGTATATTTAGTGTTCAGCCATGCTGTGTGCTGGTGCTGAGTGTAAAGATGTCCTTTTTCAAAATTACCTCCTCACTTTTAATTTGTCTGACCTTCTGTTTCAGTGTGTCAGTGCAGACTAATAGCTCTTGGGAGGCTGCCAAGGTGGGTCCCTGGAGCCTTAGTACTGTGACCATGTTTTCAGCTGAAAGAGTTGGGACTTGAGCTGTGTTTGCCCACTTGCGCTGTTTTATTTGTTTGTTTGTTTTTTTGTTTTTTCATTGCCACAATTAAATGCATCCTTCCCCGACTTTGTCACATTTGGAAGGCTATATGTGTGCATGAGAGGGTTTGGAGGAATCACTCTATTTCTTTGAAATCCCACAGGGCTCTTTTCTGAACATATGACCTTCTGAAAAGAAACCAGGACTTTCTTCTGGGCTCTTTTGCCTCAAAAGTCAGGAGAGGCAAACGGGGTAAGCTCTCATGGCTGGATTCGGTAGGTGCAGTTCTCCCTGTAAATTGGCACCCCCACTGCCACACCTGCGTTTCTGCCTTCTGGATCTTGGCCCCAGGTGGGGCGCTGTCCTAGGGTGGGTAAGGGGTATTTCTCCACCTTGTTGCCCATGAACTCAGGAGTGGCATTATCTAAGTATTTTATTAGTTGTAAGAGTTAAGTACCAGTTTTTGCAATTTAGTTAACTTATAAAAACGTCAGTACTTCAAGGTTATCCCTAGAATAATAACGACCTCACTTATTTGCATCCGTCTATGATTTTTGTGGCTGGCCCTTGAGGGAATGTGTGCTGCCCACCCGCTTCTATCTAACCGCCTCTTAGTGTTGTAGTTCTGAGGAGAGATGGCTTTTATGTCCTGTCATGCTGGTCAGATGCTTTTTATAAATATCCTGCACGGCACAGTCTTCTACTGTGATAGTGTAGATCTCTTTCTTGGCTCAGGCCACGTTTGGGAGTGTGTTGTGTTGGTGATCAGTGTAGTGACTGCATGTCTTGGTGGAGAAATTTCAAGAATAGATGGGTGAGAAAATAGGGATGGTGATGAAAAAACCCTATCTTCTATATTTGACAGCATCACAAATTTTGTATTTCATTTACTCCCCACCTCAGCACTGAAGTAGATACTAATGTCATTCCCAGTTTGTACATAGAGACTGATCATTAGGAGTTCGTGAAACCTGGTCAAGGTTACACATGGCAAGTGGCAGAGTGTGGATTCGCATCCCCATGGTCTGGCTCAGGGCCTGTGTGAGCTGGACTGTGCTTAGTTGTTAAGGCTAGGAACCTCACCCTCTCCTCTATTAGCCAGCACCTTCTTTCCAACCAAAGCCAAGAGAAGTCTTAAGACACTTCGGGGCTGGAAGAGACTTCAGGAAGATCCCTCTGGATCCTTATCCTTCTAGCTGATGTCGAGGAGGTGCAGAGGTAGAAAACTTTCTCTGAGTCTCACCAGCAGAAATCAGTGGGAAGGCTGGCTCTCAATTCTGACTCTTGGTCCCACGGGAACAGTTGGTAGCAAAGGGTAACAGGTATGGCCT